CAGGGCAGGCTTCACTGAGAAGGTGGCATGTAAGGAGACTTGAAGGTGAGGAAGTTAGCTAGATAGATATCTGAAGAACATTTTAGGATGGGGGCATGCCTGATACATCTGAAGAACAGTAAAGGCCCTAGGATGGGAACAATAGTAGAGAAACCAGGAGGAATGAGGCAGAATAAAGGAGGGAAAAGAGAGTAGAGAAAAGGCTAGAGAAGTGCACAGGGGACAATCATGCAGGGCTTCATAGGGAAGGGTAAAAAAGCCTGAAAAGGTGGTCATCTTCGTACCACCACAGTTCTGTCAAGGTGGAAACCTGGCCCAAGGCCAGTCAACTCATTGGTCAGCCAACAGCCAATCTTAAATTTCTAAATTAAATTTTCAGCTACAACACACAGAGGCTCTATTCAATTGGTGGTGAGCTTTAGGGTTAATTCGTCAAGAAGCATGCCACCCTAGTCCCTGTCATAGTAAGAGAAATCCATACACAAGAGGCTTTCTGTCATATGGAAGAAGAAAGCATAGTGATGTGTTGCTTAACGACGCAGATACATTCTTAGAAATGAGTCATGAAGTGAATTTATCATTGTGTAAATATCAGAGGGTGCTTAACACAAACCTAGATGGTATAGCCTACTCCACACTGAGGCTATATGGTATAGCCTATTGCTCCTAGGCTACAAACCCATACAGCATACTATTGTGCTGAATACTGTAGACAATTGTAACACAATGGTATCTGTTTATCTAAACGTAGAAAAAGTAATGCATTGCACTACAATGTTGTGACAGCTACAATGTCACTAGGTAATAGGAGTTTTTCAACTTCATTATAATCTTATGGGACCACCATCACACATGCAGTCCACTGTTGACCAAAATATCATTAGCTGTGGCTTGAGTATACATAGAAAGAAGGCTAGAGTTGCCAGATAAAATACAGGATGTCCAGTTAAATTTAAATTCAGATAGACAATGAATAATTTTTTTAGTATAAATATGTCCCAAAATATTTTATAGGACATAAATTTATACTAAAGTATTATTTATCTGAAATTCAAGTTTAACTGTGCATCTTGCATTTTTATTTGCTAAATATGGAAAACCAAAGAAAGAATGAAGGAGAACACAGCATCTTAGTTCTGATCTTTCCCATCCAGGTTCTCAACTGCCCTGGTTATACTTCACTCCTGTCCATGAATAGCGGTGGCATTGTTTTATAACAATCCAAACTTTCATTTGATCTACTCTGAGTGAATTTCTGTTCTTAACAAGGGACATGGAAACATGTAGCAAATCCCCTGCAAAAGAGACACTAAGGCATCAAAGAAGCAGGTAGCTTAATAAAACTTTGGGGAGATGTTTGTCTCCATTCTCAAATTACCTGTGAAAAAAAAGCATGGTGATGTGTTTACAGGAGCTAACTTGATTTATTTCAAACCAAAAGTGAATACAGAAAACTACTGGCCAGAATATGTCAGCAATCATTACACAGCCTCTATCTAGGAACGTGTGCACTAGAGATACCCACACAAAGGAGACCCTGGGATTCCCAGAAGCAACGCCACATTGTTGAAAGCAATGAAGGGTTACGGTGAAAAACCTGGGATTACAGACAGCAAAATTGGGGAAAGAAATCGTGCTTAGCTGGTTACAATTCTTGCAACGGCAAATTCAATAAACATTTATTTGTTGAAGCACCTAGTATACGTATCAGCACTAGACTGGTGTTCAGAAAGCTACAAAAATGTATACAACAGGAACTTAAGGAGCTCAAGAAGCCTGGAGAGAGAACATAAAATGGACAACCAAGCCGTTAAAAGAAACTGGGGCTTTATTGGCCCAAGCGGAGCCAGCGGATCTAGCCTATAAATAATGCTTTGACGAATAAGTTAGAAAAAGAAAAACTAGGCCGGGCGCGGTGGCTCACGCTTGTAATCCCAGCACTTTGGGAGGCCTTGGCGGGTGGATCACGAGGTCAAGAGATCGAGACCATCCTGGTCAACATGGTGAAACCCCGTCTCTACTAAAAACTAATTAGCTGGGCATGGTGGCACGTGCCTGTAATCCCAGCTACTCAGGAGGCTGAGGCAGGAGAATTGCCTGAACCCAGGAGGCGGAGGTTGCGGTGAGCCGAGATCG